TTTGATAATTCGATTGATAATATTTCATGTTGACATATACATGAAAAACAAAAGAATTCCTAGTCAAGTGAGCCCCTCATTGCACCGAATAGACCGATTTTGTCTCGTAGCGCAATTCGCTTGGCTGAAATGACAGACTCATAGAGAATTCGAGTCCAACTTGTTGCACCAATTGTTTAATTATTTAATTTTCAATTCCAATTTTCCAATCGTTGAATCTCCAAACAAATTTCTAATAGCGTACAGTCCATGAAATATCATTTTTTTTCCGAACAGTCTCTCACTAACAATTTCCCTGTCGCCACATTGCCAACGAAATAATCAACATAATCCCCAAGTTATAGCCGTAACCCTCTCCACTTTAATAGAGCGGAAAGCTAGTTGACTGCTCTAGTTCGATAATAATCAGACAAAGGTGAACAAAGTGGAGGGTGAAACAGGAGGATTGCCGGAAATACTTCGGCAGTTTCACGCTAGTGGGTCGATTCCGTAGCCACGTATGCATCCGTTTTGGCATTTACGGTGGTAGAATGAGCTTGAAGTGCTCCCCCACCCCTGCGCCCCGAGGGGTGAAGAGGAGACCAGAGAGACATCGGCTCGAGGTGCGAGAGGGACCTAGATGGTTCGATATAGGATCGTTGGGGTAGTTAGAGGTGCACACGATAGTATCGGCACAGGCGCCTCCAATCATTTGCCAATTAGCAGCTGATTGCGTACAACCGGCACCAAAAGTTACCAACCGAAACTGTCGAGCATTGCTGAGGACGGGTGGGGGCTAATGGGAGCGGAGTGAAAAGGCTCATCCCCGCAGCAACCTCATTCCCTTTCGTTCTCTCATCGTCCGACTCTCCTACCTACAACACGTTTACCCCACTATCCGGCCACCGGCAACCGCAAAATTGCTTGGGCACTGCTCTCTGCGTTATTGCTCGCTATGCACTACTGCATTCTTTTCATTCCACACTGTAAGGATTAAGGTCTTAACGTTATAGTACGCTAGTTTCCAGTTATTTCGAGCATTTTTTAATTTTTATAATTATTCGAGGTCGCTGGGCACATGTTGGGAGAGTATTTGGTAGTGCGTTCTTGTTGATTGAAATTTATGAAAATTGCAACGTTCGGTTCAGTTTTTCCATGAAAATTGAAGAAAATCGCAGAAGTTTGAGTGAATTCGCACGCAGAAACACCTAAACGTCAATTGCGATTTGTGAAACGTAATTTATTTTTTTCTGTCATTAATATCGGAATTTAGGGTCCAAAAACTCGTATTTGACGGTCAAAATAAAAACGTTGATTACGAGCGTATTTCACGCTTGAGAAATTGTAATTTACGGTATTAGTAGAAAAGTATTTCACGATTCACTTATGCGTATTTGGTATAGGATTTTTGTTGATTGAAATTTATGAAAATTGCAAATTTCAGTTCAATTTTTCCATGAAAGATCATAAAAATCGCTAATGTTCAAGTGAATTCATTACACAGAAAAGGCTAAACATGAATTACCTTTCGCAACGCCAATAGGAGAACTGGCGTTTTTTTTTCGTCATTAAAATCGGAATTTAGGCTTCAAAAAGGCGCATTTTACGGGCGAAATAAAAAAGTTAATTACGTCGAAACAAAGCGTCTTTTACGTTTCACTAAGCGTATTTCACGCCTGAGAAATTGTAAATTACAGTCTTAATAGAAAAGCATTTTACAATTCATTTATGCATAATTTACGAATAAGAAACTGTGGATTACATTTTTGTAATCGGAATTTACGACGATTTTGAGCGTAATTTACGCCTCGTTGTGAAGCGTAAAATACGATTGAGAACGCGTAAAAGACAACCTCTTAAACGTAATTTATGTTTAGGTTTTTCTGTGTGCATCCTTGAATGTTCAATTAATTGAAGATGAAGAGTGATTTTGTTCTGGAGTTTCATGTTTTGATTGGAAATCCAAGTAAATTGGGGAATTCTCGTCTACTGGCTGCTCAACAATTTGAAATTCCATTGAATTCCTAGTGAAATTTGAAATTGCCTAGTTTGTAGATATCTAATGTCCTTCTCCTGGAAATTTTTATTGAGTAAGAACTCACGGGAATTTTGAAGAAGCCAAAGAAGAAATTGATAAAAATAAAAATAAATAAAGTGAATCCATTCTTGAATTTTCAACTTTTGATTGTGAATTGAGGGATTTTCGTCTTTCTGCCGCTCAACCATTTAAAATTCCATTGAATTCTTACCAAAATTGAACATTTTCTCTCTCTCTCATATCAATATCATAAATGTTGATTCAATTATGCCATGGGAATTTAAAAAAATCAGAAAAATTCAAGTGAATTGATTTTTTGAAATTGTCTTTCTTCTCAACAATTTAAAATTCCATTGAATTCTTATTAAAATTTGAAATTTTCTCTCTTTTAAATAAACTCTATTGCGCTTCTCCTGGAAATTGCACTAAACTGCCCCTAAAATTCTATTTTTTTTTCACAATAGACAGTTTTCGGTTATTTTTATCAAGTAATAATTCCACGAAAATTTCACCGAATTTCCTCAGTCAAATTCATATTTTGATGAGGGAATCACTGAAAATCATGAATTTTAGTTCAATTATCCCTCACAAAATGATAAAAATCACAAAAACTTATGTGAACTTAATACTAAATAGAATTTTCGTCTCCCTGCTGTTGAAAAATTTTGAATTGCATTAAATTAAAAGAAAATCGAAATTGCATCATTTATTGCAAGAACATCTCTCAACTAATTATCCCACGAATCTTCCTCAATAGACCCTCTAACTCTTTCCTCACATTTTTAAAATGCTTCCCCTCGGTTCTGAATGCGACATCTAATTTATTGATTCGTACTTTGTCACGTGATTTCAACTGTCGTTATTTTTCCAAACATAGTTATCAATTCGTTCCCACAATTTGAGGAATTAACGGCTGCAGTGCGGATTAATTCATTATACAATTTGCCAAACGAGTTTCACATCCTCATTCCTCTTGTTTTTCGTTTCCATTGAATTCTCTATTTTATGGGATAAATGTGATAATAACCCGGCCGAAAATACCTCCGCAATTTTCGCGAGATAAATTGTAAAGAATGCCGGGATTCGAGACAAATGAAGCATTTTGTTGGAGCCATTCAAATAATGAAATTTCGCTGGAAATTCGTTTTGACTAGATTAGCTTGCAAATTGCGATGGCAAAGGTGCCGGCAGTGAATCTTCTTATCGCCCATATAGATTGCGATCGCGCGATGCGGGTCATTCCAGGAGAGAAAGTAGGGGTATACGCCCCTATCTCTTCATTCAACTTACCTCGACCAAACCCATACCCGAATGCCCACCCACTCTCTTTCTCTCTCAAGAGAATCCACTGTCGCCAATCTTCGTTATCCATTGTCCCATCTTGATTGTTCTCGCTCACTCGACTAAACCGTGAACTTCCGGGGGCGTGCTGAATAAAAAGAGGAATGTACAGGGGGAGACAAAAAATCGGAAAATAGTTGGGCGGCTGGGGTGGGGGGGAGAGGGGCGAATAAAGAAGAGAGAATAGACCGAAAAACGAAATCGACCCTAATCGCTAGAACAAAGAATTCCGGGTGTTGCAAGGGGAGAGACAGTTTTATCTCGTTAATGAACATTCTTCAGAGCCATTCGACAAAGTTGAAAATTTTATCTCACTGTTAGTATGAACAATAGTCTCACGGAGAGTTGTGGCATTTAGAAAATTCGAGTGAGATAATTATTTGGGGAATTTGAAGGAATTGTTTTAATGAAAGTTGTTCTTGGGGAATTAAATATAAGTAATGGGCTGCGTGGAATATTTTTGGGTGATATGTTCCGTACATTTTGTGATGATTTTTATCAAGTGAGAGTTCTATTGAAATTTCAAGGAATTTTGACATTGAGAATTCAGAATCAGATGGAAAAATCAATGGAACTCAAGATAATTCTGGATAATTTATTTTTGATCTTTCCATTATTTGAAAATTTCGCACAATTGGATACTGAATATTCATTATTTTATTGAAAATTCAAATAAATTAAGGAATATTTTTCTCCTTAAAATAGTTGCGGGACAGGGGAATCAAGAAGAGGGAATAAACTGGACAACGAAATCGGCCAAATCGTCAGAGTATAGAATTCCGGGTGTTGCAAAGGGAGAGACAATTTTATCTCGTTAATGAACATTCTTCAGAGCCATTCGACAAAGTAGAAAATTTTATCTCACTGTTAGTATGAACAATAGTCTCACGGAGAGTTGTGGCATTTAGAAAATTCGAGTGGGATAATTATTTGGGAAATTTGAAGGAATTGTTTTAATGAAAGTTGTTCTTGGGGAATTAAATATAAGTAATGGGCTGCGTGGAACATTTTTGGGTGAGATGTTGGGCACTTTTTGTGACAATTTTTATGCCAAATTGTTCGATTAGAATTTCAAGGAATTTTGACATTGAAAATTCCCAAGTGGATGGAAAAATCAATAGAACCCAGAATAATTCAAGTAAAAATCTTCTTGAATTTTCAATTTATTGACAACTCAAAGAAGTTAAGGAATATTCTTCTTCTCAAAATAGTTGCGCAACAGGGGAGACGAAAAAATTGAAAAATCAAATATTCCGTCGATTTTCGCTTCGAATTATCAGAAAATTCCTAAAATACTCGATTTTTCAGTTCAATTATTCCACAAAAATTCGGAAAAACCAGGAGACTTTAGAGAAAAATGAAAAATTCATGTGATTTTGTTTCTGAATGTTCATATTCCATAAAAAAATCAACTGAAAAGTCATGAATTCCCTTCAATTTCGCCTGAAACTTGAGATTTCCTAACCATTAATCCCCTAAATCGGATTCAATATCACTCCCCCGAGAACTACTACCGCATTTTCCACAAAATTTCAAAAAACTTCCAACAGTGTAGAATTTTCCCCACCCCACAAATTCCGTCCTCCCTAAAATCGCTAAAAAATAGAATTCCCCCAACAATAAATACCGGTTTATGTTGCAGAATTTGGCGACCTAGCCACTAGCCAATCCCCCGGGATACGATGACATCGAGGAAACCATTGCCGATACTGAAATTATTCAGTGGGTCAGAAGGAAGTGGACGAGCATACGGTCAACCGAGCCCCGGTGAAGATGGAGAATTGGTTAAACGTGAAACGTGAGAGGGCGGGGGGGTGGCGTCAGAGATGGGGTTGGCCCCGGAGGCCAGAGTCGTCTCCGCCCGCCACCCCCCCGAAAACTAGACAGCCAGAACCGCAAAACGTCTTACTGAAGCCAAAGACCGAGAGAGGTCAACTCCGCTTGGAAGCTGTCTACCCCGCGAACGTGATAGGGTTGACTATTCTCCTTCTGTGTGCACTTGTGTTTCTACTACTCAACTCAAACCCAAATGCCCCCCTCCCCAGACTGCTTTGACTCTCTCACTTCGTGTTATACAGGCTTTCTCAGTAAACCAGCGCCCCCAACCCCTCTTTTAGTTCCTTGGCTTACCGGACGAGAGACGTTGACTGCACTAGCCTTTGCGGCGAGCCAAAAGTTTTTCCTCTACTTTTCATGGGGTCTACGTTGAAGAAAACTGGATACTTGAGAAACTTACCCCATGGGAATTGACCAATCTTGGGTGCCGGTACCTCTCAGAACTCGAACGGAAGGAGAAATTATTTAAGTTAGATTGTCTCTATCAAAATTCAGGAACATAATGTATGACTATTTTTTTAATGCGAATGCGCACCAGCTAATCGTGCGGGCCGTCTCATGTTGGCTGTTGCTATGGGAATTGTTTCAAAATGCTCGTTAGGATTAATAAAACGGAATAGACGGAGCAGGATGAAGTCTTAATGATGAATTATGCTTTCTGCAGTATACAGAAAGTACTCTATTATCATTTCTATACCCGGATATACACTGGAAAGCAGAAATTAAAATTGAAGACAAAGGATGAATGGAAATAATGGAATGAGAATTTTCTTTAAAGTATTATAGGACTTTTTGTATTGCACTGTTGGATATTTTTTTAAATTCAAGTAACAGATGCAGCTGAATTCTCAATATTCTGGACTTAAATTCGACTTCAAACTGTATTGCTCATGGAATTACTGATTCATCTTGGAAATTCAATAAAAGTAAGTTTTTAATGATGAATAATCATTGAATTTTCAAGGACAAATTTGATTTTCAAACCTATCGTGAAAATTAAGCAATACATTCAACTGAATTTTCAACAGACTGAAAATTCAGAAGAAAAGTTGCCTAAATTTTCACGTTCTTCAGTAATTTTTATTGTCGTATGAACCTGGGAAATGAAATTTCATTGAATATTCAAGTAAATTGTCTGACTTCTTAATAACAAGATCAATGGAAATTCCACGTAAATTATTCATTATTAAACATTTAAAGATTTTTTACTTGAAACTTAAAGAGTCAGTTTCTAACAGTGTGTATGACTATTTTTTTAATGCCAATGTGCACTAGCTAATCATGCAGGCCGTCTCATGTCGGCTGTTACTACGGGAATTGTTTCAAAATGCTCGTCAGAATGAATAAAACAGAATAGAAGGAGAATAATAAATTCTTGCTGATAAATTGTTTTGTGCAGCGTACACTGAGTATTTCTATTGTAATTTCGAGGCATTTTATTATCATCTCCTCACACGAATATCCATTGAAAAGGAGAAATGAAAATTAAATCGAGAGGGGAAATACAGAGGATGAATGGAAATAATGAAATGCTAATTTCATTATTTCGAATATAAGAAAATTTAATCGTATTCTGTCTATTAAAATTTAAAAACAGAGGGCATAAATATTTTTTGAAGCGAATGTGTTCTAGCTAATTATGCAGCCCCCACGTTGGCTATTACTGGGAGAATTATATCAACATTCTCATCAGAATGAATAAAACAGAGTAGAACAGAAAAACCAGAGGCGAATGATGAATCGTTGATGAGGAATTATGATTTCTCCAGAGCACGCTGAGTATTTCGATTGCAATTTCAAGGCATTTCATTATGATCTCCATACGTGGATATCCATTGAAAAGGAGAAATTAAAATTAAATTGAGAGGAGAAAGACAAAGGATCAATGGAAATAATGAAATATTAATTCATTATCAAATTTGTTGATTGAATTGCGTGAGAAATTTAAAAAAAACTCATGAATATTCAGCGTCATTCAAATTACATTTCGCACAGAATTGTAATTTTTTTATTTTTATGATTGCGGAATTGTTTCCAAATGTATAGATGCCCTCACTCTCTAGTTTAGTAGTCTATATTAATTGAATTTATCGAATTAGAGGTTTAAACTGGTTGCTTTTTGCAGATAACACTGTTAAATATTTTTGGATAAAACTTCTCGTGAACTCCTTGGAATTTTTTTATCATTGAAATTTTATGTAATTTCGTTATTAAGAATTCAAAATTAATTAATTAGTTGTTGAAATGCACCAAATAATTTTCTCCGTGAAAATACTTGGATATATTCAAGTCAATTTTTTTTACTTTTCCAATTACACTGTTAGAATTTTTTCGAAATTTAATGGAAAATACGGTAGTAATTCTCATGAGAGTGACATTGAATTCGATTTAGAGGAAAATGGCCATGAAATTTCAAGTTTTAGGTAGAATTCAAGGAAATTCGTGAGTTTTTCGTGAGAATCAGACGGAAATTGCACAACTTGATTGACTTTTCAATGAAACATGAATATTCAGAAAGGAAATGATATAAATTTTTCATTTTCCCTTGAATTTTCCTAATTTTTCCGAATATTCACGGAATAATTGAACGAAACAATCAAATATCTTATCAATTTTCAGATCACTTTAAAAGAAAATCAATGGAATATTTCCTGTGCTAAGTGGAAAAAAATCATATTAACCATTTTGGGATTTGTATGTCAACGAAGTGGAAAAACATCGTATAAACCCAATCTAGGGAACATGAAATTGGGACGATTGGGCTTGGCAGAATCATTTTTCCCAACTTTTGAGGACAATTTTTTTTGGCTCCTACGACCTTTTTCTACAAACCCTCCTCCAATAGTGGAAAAATGAGAAAAAAATCCTTTCACTGTTTTCTCGTTATTTTTCTAATATGTAACAAAAAAAAATTCCTCAAAGGATGGATTAAAATAATTCTAGAGAGCCCAAATCATCCAGATTTCATGTTCCCTAGATTAGGTTTACACGATCTTTTTCCACTTCGTCGACCTAAAAATTCCAAAATGGTCAGTGCGACCTTTTTCATTTAGCACGCGATTTGATCTTTCAATGACAAGATTTTCCAAAATTCCAGGATTTGACACGGAAAAATCAGACGAATATGTTTAACAGTGTAACCAGTCCACAACAATTGAATAAAAACTACGCACTGCCACGTTTCCCTCACGAAGTGTCCAATCTATCACGCTGAGAGAAAAATCTGAAATTCGATTTACAATAAGAAAATAGTTGAGGCAGTTTTCGTGAACGATACGATTTTTTTTGTATACGGCACATAACATTATAGTAACTTCACAAGCGTAATTTTTGCAAATCAAAATGCAGTTAAACTAACCAAAGTTCAAAAGTAACCACGACAAATCTATCGTGAGTAGAACCATAAAATAATTGCAATGACTACATTCCATTGTAGTAATTACTTCTCCGGCCATAGTTACCGTAACCCATGAAAGATTGTTGAGGACTTTTTGACTATAATTCGATGGTAATGGAATATAGTCAGAAGAATCATATTTTTCTCTCAGTGCACTTAAAATCAAATTCACTGAGGAATGCCAAAAGACGAGCGCAAAGAACGCCAAATTTATTTTCGGAGGTGAATGATGAACGCATATTGGTCAGTAACTCATGATTATTAATTCGCGGGCTTCTGGTAATGTGCGTATCACCGGGACGAGTTAACGAGTTGGCCCCGGAGTATTCGCTGGGGCCAAGCGTGAACGAGTTGGAGGGACTAACGATGCGCGTTAATTGCCACGAAATGGATAGACGCGCAACCCTTTACTCCGCCATCCTCCTGACACAATTGAACAGCGTTTCTGGCGATAGGGGGGGGGGAGGGAATTGGAGGACTGGCGTGTACCTTCTATCACCCCTCATCACCCATCACACAGGCTAATTTTCAATGTACATGTATAACACGTACAGTGGGGGCATCACGGTTTCATGGTATAGATATACTGAACGCAGCTCCGTCCATCATCAATTTTCAATCTGTCGAATGGAATGACTCGTCCAAAACGTATGTCATATTGATGACGCCCATTAGCGGTGACACTTAGCAACTTTGTAAGATTCGTAGCCATGGTTTTAACGACAAAATTCTATTGTTTATTGGCACCCGAAGAAATGACGCATTTTAATGAAATAGATTTTAAGTAAATTTTTTATTTCATTTTCTTCATTCATTTCAACAATATTTTTGTTTGAAAATATTGTTTTGTTTTATTTGATCGAGATTTCTATGAAAATATTGTTGAAATGAATAGAATAAATAATCAATTGATTAATTCGAAAGGAAACATTTGTTTTTATTTGAAAAACAATTTTTTTTAATGTGGAAAATTACGTTTTTTGTTTAATTTATTTGAATAAATCATTTTATTTTGTTGAGTTAATTCAAATAAGTCATTCCTCTAGGTGTACATTGCACCAAAAATAGCCAAAAATAATCTTCAAATAATTTACTGAATTTTCAACGATTACAGAGGAAAGGATTGACAACGAAAAAAAAGTGATAAAAATGGTGCGAAAATAATAAGAGTTAATGGAAAATTTTGAGGATGAGAATTGAAAATAAAGCATTTGTATATGTATATCTACTCTCCGAATGAAATGTTATTTCATAAGAGTTGTCATAATATAATATTAACGAGGAGCACACAGAATTTCAATGCTCGGGTGGTCGTACAAAGGGTGGATATGAAAACAAGGCCACTGTAATTCCGACATAGAGACTGTGTTATGGAATGGCGAAATGAATTTCTCAGTTGAAGCTAATCTCCAAAGCTGGGTGGCTGATATTATTGCGGAATTTCATGAATAGGAAAATTATGTGGGGGAATTAATGCTGGAGGTA